GTATCACATAGTTTGATTTTGAATATTCTAGTTACCCTCTTTCTTTTGTCTTTGTGGTTTTTCTTTTTACCCCCATTAGTTGTAATCATACTGAGTTTTTAACTTTGTTTACTTTGGCTTTTTTCCTATACTAATGCTATACCAGCTGGATAATATATTAAAAATGTCAATTTGGTAAACTTTTCAAACTAAGTACTTTTAAAATGAATTCATAATAATCCATAAGGATTCAAACTTTTGATAAAAGGCAGAACCAGATTTCATAATACAGACATTGATTGTTAACGAAGTGCTCTGGAACAGCCTTATTTTAGCAACTAAGGATTTTTGAAAGAGCACAATCAATTTCCAAAAAAAATATTTGGCTAACAAAACTGTAGGGTATCCATTAAAGAAGCTTATGCAATAATAAAAAATCAAAGTAATTTTGAAAAAAACAGAACTAAATTTTACTATGCCACTTTCATAAAGGTTAAATAACAGCTCTGCATGGGTACAATTGATCTGCCATTAACAGAGCCATCTCTGAATGTCACTTAGCTTCCAAAATCAAGGCTCAGACACAAATAAAAGAAAAAATAAGCTAGTTAAAAGTCAAACAACTCAATCAATAATGTAGCAACAGTGTATATAATTACAGAGACCCTTCTAAGAAAATCTATTAGGGCCTAATGTACATGCAGATCAAGGCAGAAGATTCTTTAACAATGGAATCTTACAGTCATGTCTCAATGACCTGGAGCATCATGCTTTGGAAATAAGGAATACCAACGATGATTTGGGACTTCTCTAGCGTAACAATAATTGCTTTGTCCTGTGAGGAAAGAGAGGCTTATCAGAAAGAAATACAGAGCCTTGAGATATGGCTAAAAAGAAAGAGCATGCTTAGGAGCATCTCATTTAATGATCAGAGCCTAAGCTAAAAAGGATTCTTTTTTAGCTTTTTTAATTAGGTTTATATTAGGTTTTTATTTTCAGAGACCAAAACAGATGGGTAGAATAATATCAAAGGTGAGGAACAAATCTTGTTTTATCTTTTATTCTGACTTATGAATTTGTATTTTGGGCTGTAATTGACATAAAATTTGTATTAGTTTATGATTTGATACATACATATATTGCAAAATGATTACCACAATAAAGTTAACATCTATCGCCTCCTCACAGTTTTTTTCTTGTGATGAGAACTTTTAAGATTTACTCAGTAATTTTCAAATATATAAGACGGTATTATTACTGTTTCTTTTACTATATACTTAGCAGACAGGTTGAGGCCAGGGGAATTAAGTCCATGCTGAGGAACAGAGCTGAGTAGCGAAGAGAAATCAGATCCTGGTAATATGACTTAAGCACAGGGTCAGGCGGTGTGCCTCAACTGTAGTTATGTGAGTCAACAAGATCTTTTTACTGTTTAAGCCTATCTGAGCTGGGTTTAGTTACATGCAATATAAAGAATTCTAACTAATAAAATACTGGAATTACATAAATCTTTAACAAACTGTAAATCAATACTTGTAGCCTGTGACAACCAGTTTTTAATATGGTAAGCAAAAATATTCTCCCAGGGATGAAATGATCCAGTAGTTTTCGAAGGTACTTTATTTTTTTTTTTTGAGGAGAAAAAAAGGTTTTTTTTATTCTGAGCTTCCCATAGCAAGGGAGTCAGCCACCAAGCCTTGCATTCTGGCAGACTCAAAGGCAGGTGGGGCAAGTGGAAACACAGAATAGTGATAAAAGGAAGACTTCCGGAAGCTGTGAGCTTTAAAAAAAATCTTTTCATGGGTGTGGGGGAGGAGTAAGACAGAGTGACGAGAAATCTTTGTGAGCACATCCTACCACAGATTCTGGGTCCACTACAGTGGCCAAGAATAATATTTTCATTTGTTTTAGCTTTGGGAGAACCACATCATTCATATCAGTATAATGTATAGTATCTAAAAATTACTGTTGATTTATACCCCCTCTCCCAAAATAAAAACCCAACCCCAAACCAGTGACAACCATACACTTAAAGAAATTCAGTAATGGTGTTTAACATGCAGCTATGGGGAAAAAACCCAGTTTTAGAGAACCTGAACTGCTTTCAGAACAGTTTCAATCTTTAAAAAAATTATCAATAAAGAGTTAAGAGACAAACGTGCTAACCTTCTTTCCTAATTTTTTCTAAATCCGAGAAGCATAAAATCCTCTTCAGTCTTAGTTAAAATAAGAGCTATTTATTGATCATTTATGTGTCAGATACTGTGGCAAAATGCTTTATATACATTTACTCATTTAATTTCTGTATCTTTCTTCCTTTGGCAGGACTTATTTTAAAATCCCAAGTGAAATGCTTTTATAAACAGCATTTTCTAGAGTATGCCGTGAAATGATAAGCCTGGGATTAATATTGGTGCCTTGTTTTATAAAGATTTCTTGTCTTCCATCATTTGCAGGTTCCATCTAATACAGCTAGAATGATTGCAACTGACTGGTTTGTTGAGACTGGAATCTGAACTCCATCTAAGAGTTAACACTAGGCAATTCCAAACTTACCAGGACCCCAAGCATATCAAGACACCAGATGACTTGGAGGGCCCTTATTTACAGCAAACAGTCCCTAATAATCTCACTCGGTATGTACTACAGAAAATGAAGCTTCCACATTTCATACTAGGGCTACTCAAAGTATGGTCTGTGAACCTGGCACCATTAGTAGTACAGGACATTATCTACGTCACTAAGTACAATGCTTAGTTCAGCCAACTTTTTTCTTTTTTTTTTTTTTTAAAGATTTTATTTATTTATTTATTTGAGAGAGAGAGAAACAGCATGAGAGGGGAGAGGGTCAGGGGGAGAAGCAGGCTCCCCACCGAGCCGGGAGCCCGATGTGGAACTCGATCCCAGGACGCCGGGACCATGACCTGAGCTGAAGGCAGTCGCCCAACCAACTGAGCCACCCAGGCGCCCCAGCCAACTTTTTTCATAGCAAGATATTCTTGATGAAGGAGACTTGACTGATTTAGATTCTAGCCCAAGCTTCTTACCCATCATGAACTGGTAACAGTTTGTGGACCAGCTATTTGGAATAACACTTGTTCTAGACCTCAATTTTAAATATGGCCTCTAGTTTTCTGTCCCTGATGCCACACACAATTTAACTGACCAACCAAATACTTAGCGTAAACAATGGAAAAAACAATAAAAATTAGCAATTTGAGTATCAAAAAAATAATAGGACACCTAGGAATAAATCTAACAGAAGAGGTGAAAGACCTGTACTCTGAAAGCTATAAAACTGATGAAAGAAACCGAAGATGACACAAAGAAATGGCAAAACATCCCATGCTCATGGACTGGAAGGACAGATATTGTTGAAATGTCTATACTACCCAAAGCAATCTACCCATTCAATGCAATCCCTATCAAAGTACCAACAGCATTATTCACAGAGCTATAACAAAGAATCCTAAAAATTGTATGGAACCACGAAAGACCCCAATTAGCCAAAGAAACACTGAAAAAGAAACACAAAGCTGGAGGCATCCACAATTCCAGACTTCAAGTTATTTCACAAAGCTGTAGTAACCAAAACAGTATGGTACTGGCCCAAAAATAGACACACAGATCGATGGAACAGAACAGAAAACACAGAAATGAACCCACAACTATATGGTCAATTAAACTTCAACAAAGCAAGAGAGGATATCCAATGGGAAAAAGACCGTGTCTTCAACAAATGGTGTTGGGAAAACTGGACAGTAACATGCAAAAGAAACCGGACCACTTTATTATACCATACACACAAAATCAATTCAAAAGGGATGAAAGACCTAAATGTGAGACCTGAAACCATAAAAATCCTAAAAGAGAACACAGGCAGTAATTTCTTTGACATTGGCCATAGCAACTTTCTAGATATGTCTCCTGACACAAGGGAAACAAAAGCAAAAATAAACTATTGGGACTACATTAAAATAAAAAGCTTCTGCACAGCAAAGGAAACCATCAACAAAACTAAAAGGCAGCCTACAGAATGGGAGAATATCTGCAAATGACTTAACTGATAAATATCAGTCAGTATCCAAAATATATAAAGAACTTATAAAACTTAAAACCCCAAAAACGAATAATCTGACTAAAAATGGGAAGACCATGAGCTGACATTTTTCCAAAGACGACATCCAGATGGCCAACAGACACATGATGGGTGATGTTAAACATCTTTTCATCAGGGAAATGCAAATCAAAACTATAAGGAGATATCACCTCACACCTGTCAGAATGGCTAAAAAAACAACACAAGGAACAACAGGTGTTGGCGAGGATGTGGAGAAATGGGAATCCTTGCACACTGTTAGTGGGAATGCAAACTGGTGCAGCCACTCTAGAAAACCATATGGAGGTTCCTCAAAAGTTAAAAATACAACTACCCTATGATTCAGCAATTGCACTACTAGGTATCTACCCAAAGAATACAAAAATACATAATTCAAAGTGATACACCCCGATGTTTACAGTGGCATTATCTGTAATAGCCGAATTATGGAAATAGCCCAAGCCATCAACTGAAGAATGGATAAGGAAGACACACACCCACAGAGGAATATTACTCAGCCATAAAAAGAATTAAATCTTGCCATTTGCAACAATATAGATGGTGTTAGAGAGTATTATGCTAAGTGCAATGAGTCAGAGAAAGACAAATACCATATGATTTCACTCATTTGTGGAATTTAAGAAACAAAACTAAAACGAGCAAAGGGGGGAAAAAAAAGGCAAACCAAGAAACAGACTCTTAACTATAGAGAACAAACTGATGGGTTACCAGAAGGGAGGAGAGTGGGGAGGATGGGGGAAATAGGTGATGGGGATGAAGGAGCGCACTTGTTGCGATGAGCACCGGGTACTGTATGCAAGTGTTGAATCGCTATATTGTACACTTGAAGCTAATATTACACTGTATATCAACTAAGTGGAATTTTAAATAAAAACTTAAAACAATTAGCAGTTGACCTCACCTTTGACAGAAGCAATTTCACACAGGAAACATGCCCTTCATAGACAGCAGACAGAAGAGGGGTAATATGATGTTTATCTGGAGCCTATGAAATAATGAGATAAAAAACCACTTTATTTTTCATTTCTCCCTTCTTTCTAGATTTATTTAGAGAATTATCAATGTTTCCCTACTCAAGTTTCCTGCCATTTAGAGAGCTGCCAAGACCCAAACCCATAAGCCGTATCTCCTTGGGTATCAGTGCAGTGAAGTAGAGGGCGCAGGGCTTTGACCTCAGCTCAGACCTTGACTCCGCCACTTACTGTACTATTTAACCTTTTTGAGCCCCAAGTTCCTCACTATTGTAGGAATGCCAGTGAGGTCCAGGAAGGGAAGAGGTGGGTACAAATTAGCCGCTGAAGAGGTAAAAGACTGCCACAATGGGGCCAGGTGACATGGTGTCCCCTGAAATGTGTAAAGTGGATTGCACTTGCTGTCATGGTTAAACATTTGTCCAAAACTCTGAAAAGCTATAAAAGGCAAGAGGCAGGAGATGACTGCTCCTGTCTGACCTTCTGCCTATTGACCTTTCTCCAAAACTGCAGTTTGGATTTATCCTATCACTGCAGAGTCCTATCCTCCGCTGCAAGACAGCAATTTGTTACCTATAGTTAGTTTTAAAAAGTCTGTTTGTTGGGGCGCCTGGGTGGCTCAGTCGTTAAGCGTCTGCCTTTGGCTCAGGTCATGATCCCAGTGTCCTGGGATCGAGCCCTGCATCAGGCTCCCTGCTCTACCGGAAGCCTGCTTCTCCCTCTCCACTCCCCCTGCTTGTGTTCCCTCGCTCGCTGTGTCTCTCTCTGTCAAAAAACTAAATAAAATCTTAAAAAAAAAGTCTGTGCTGCTTATTTAAAAAAAAATTCCAGTTATATATTTCTAAGTTACAGGAAATTTGGTATAATTTCAGACTATATTCTTATTTTACAAGTCTGTAGAAAATAATTACCCAAGGCATACAACAGGATTTTTTTCTAAAATGATAATGTTCTTTACATACATTAATATCTGCTCCTTTCAGCAGCAGAAATTCCAGGATTTCAAGCTGCCCACAGTCTGCTGCATAATGAAGAGGCTTCCTTCCACCTTCTAGTGTCCGGTTGACATCTTCCCCCTTATAAGAGAAGCCAAATGAAAATGATATTTAGATGGATGGTAGACTGAAGATGGGACATGAAATACCCAGTATTTTCCCCTTCTTAAGGCGTAAGAGTTTCATGAAACAATTACATTTTCTGCGAAGTGAAATAAGTAAACAAGAAGTTGAAATTAAATTCTGCACAGTAGCACACACATTGTACGAAGGTAATTCAATCATGACTAGTCAAACTAAAGACAAAAGACAAAATGCTAACTGTCATGAAATACGTTACTGTGCTCTATTTCTAAGGAGTTCAGTCAGCATAAAGTCAAGATGTGGCCACAGAAGACTGTAAGTTCACATACTGAGAGTTTATGCTGATCACAGGACATGTATTGAAATTCAAGGAAAAGCATCATGACTTCGAAGGAAGCAGACATCATTATCACAAGGTAGTAGTATTGCTACTAAGAATCATTTCCTTCACTTAACATTTATTAAAGCCCTGCTATATGGCAGGCACGGTGCACACAGACAAAGGTGAACAAAATCAGACGTGGCTTCTGATTGCAGGGAGCTAACCATCTTGTGTGGGGAGGCAGATATTAATCAAATAATCACATAATTAAACAATGTCAAAATATAACTGCTATAAAGGAAAGGAACTCAATGCTGTACAAATACTTATCAGCAGAATAGGACTTAATCTTGGTGATGGATGGGGAGTGGGTCATGTCAGAGAATGAACTCAAGGCCTCAAAAAAAGTTTTCATTCATTGAGAAGATTCTAACAATAACCAATACAACCAGCCACTATGGATTTGGTACTGTGCTAGACACATAAGCTCTCATCTTTAAGCCAACCTAAAAGGAGAAAATCTCCATTTAATAAATGAAAAGTCTGAAGCTAAAAGAAGTTAACTAACTTTTTACTGTGGCTTAGTAACAAGTGAGATCTAAACTCATATTGCCTCCAATTCAGTATTTGCCCATCTTTCTTAAGCAAAGTTCAGATTTTTAGAGTAACAACATGTCTGAAGGAACTTATTTTCTTAACTACTATTCACTTATCTTAGTTTGGTCAATTCATCAAGCCATATTCTGAATCAAGATGCTCAAAACCCTATCATTCCATGGCCATTATATGGATATAGAAGAAAGGTGTACAACATGCTTAAAGTCACTGGTGATGAAGTTGAAGCTCCAACTCTACTACTAATTTGTGGGACCTTCGACTGGTTATTTTCCAAATCTGTTTCCTCATCTGTAAAATGTGAATAAAAACGCTTAGACCTCACAGGTTTTAGTGCATCATTAAGCTACTCCATGCAAAGTACTTAACATAGTTTCTGATACTAGCACTAAAAGACTATCCAAAATTGAGTTAAGGCAGGTTTCAGCATAATGGTTGAAATTCAAAGGTATGATTTAATGTAATATACTTGCTATTCAGAAACAAATAGTAAGGGCAACTCGGTGTGCCACTGTAGCCTTTATTCACAACTGCACAAGTGAGAGGCTTTGAGGCAAACGGAGATACTGCTTCAGCGATTCTCAAATGTAACTAGTTTTCCTTACATTATTAATATTTCCTTTCCATTATTAATATTAACCAGAGAGCATTAACTGGATAGGTGCTTTTTTCACTGAAAAGAAAGTATTGCTTGTAGTAAGTAATCAGTAAGACGACTTTGTCAAAAAGCTATATTCTGGAATCAAAATAAGTGGCATCTTCCTTCCCCACTTAGTCTAAGTATGGAAAATGTATATGAAATGGAGTTGTGAGTTTAAACTTTATCCTTTATCCCTGTAGACATATCTTTACAGTTCTTATTTTAGCAGACAAAAAAAATGACAATGTCAGAAAGGCTTTGTATGACTGACAGGAAAGAAAGGATCCTCTTCCGTGGAGCCTTAGCAAAAGCTGTATTTACAGAGAAATTTATAGTACTAAAAGACCTGTACTGGAAAAGTAGAAAGGCCTCAAAATAATGATTTTTGTACTTTCACCTTAAGAAACTAGAGTATTACACACACACACACACACACACAAAACCAACCTAGAGAGTATTATGCTAAGTGAAATAAATTAGCTGGAGAAAGACACATACCATATGATTTCACTCATATGTGGAATTTAAGAAACAAGCAAAAAAACCAAAAACCAAGCAGAGGTTAAAAAAAAGGGGGGGGCAAACCAAGAAACTGACCCTTAACTAAAGAGAACAAACTGATGGTCACTAGAGTGGAGGTGGGTGGGGGAATGAGTGAAATAGGTGATGGGGATTAAGGACCACACTTGGGATGAGCACAGGGTGATGTATGGAAGTGCTGAATCACTATACTGTACACTTGAAACTAATATTACACTGTATGTTAACTGGAATTTAAATAAAAAAACTAGGGAGAAGAAAAAAGGTTTATGGAAATCCCTATACCTTCTGCTCAATTTTGCTGTGAACCTAGGTGCTCCAAAAAATAAATTTTTAGAACAGAAAATTAAATTCAAAGTAAGCCAGAAGGAAGAATAAAAGAGCAGGAACTAATGAAACAGAAAACAAAAAAGTAATAGAAATCAAAAGCTGATTCTCCGAGATCAATACAATTGATAAATAATCTAACCAGAGTGATCAGAAAAATAAAGAGTGAATACACAAAGTGCTAATACGAGACTTTACTGATTACCTTCCCACAAAGAAACTCCCAGGCCCTAGAGGGCTACACTGGTAAATTTGACCAGACTTTTAAAAAAAAGAGTAATACCAATTCTTCCAGAAGATGGGAAGCATTTTCACTCATTTTATGAGGTCAGCATTACTCTTCAAAATACGACAATGATGATACAGAAGAACACGACAACAAAACAAAAGAACGCTACAGGCGTTCATCCCTCATGAACACAAATTCTAAACAAAATTTTAGTAAACTGAACTCAAATTAAAAATATAAAAATTAAAAATAAAAATTTATATACACATAAAAAGAATATAACCATGACCAAAAGGAGTTTATCCCAGGAATACAAAGTTGGTTAAATATTTGAAGTCTGTCAACGTAATTCACCATTTCAACAAACCAGAAAAGAAAAACCATATGATCATCTCAGTAAATGAAGAAGTATCTGACAAAACCCTACATCCCTTCCTGATAAAAACTCAGCAGGGGCGCCTGGGTGGCTCAGTCCTTAAGCGTCTGCCTTGGGCTCAGGTCATGATCCCAGAGTCCTGGGATCAAGCCCCGCATCTGGCCCCCTGCTTCTCCCACTCCCCCTACTTGTGTTCCCTCTCTGTCAAAAAATAAATGAA